TAAATGTGTCAGAGAAGGGCTGGCAGAAGTTCAAAGAAACTAACCCCAGTGGGTCATTCCAGGAGAAAGAAGGATATATGTGCACCAATATTCCATGGCCTCTGTAATCAAGAGGGTCCTAGTGCTGTCTTGCCTTGTGTTTCTGGCCCAGACACAGCCCAGACTCTGATCCAGGTGGGGTTGGGGTTTTCATATTTCAGTGACCCACATGTGCACACAGTGGGAAACCTGTGTGACCCTCCCCCACATATGTGAAAACAGTCTTTGCTCCATAAATGATATCCTTTGATGACTTTTACTGGATCCTCTTGTGATAGTTTTGGTGGGGTTGGGGGACAGGACAGGAGGCAAGGATGAGGCCAGGTGAGGGTGCTCCCTAGCAAGCCTGTGCAGTGGCCACGTGTTGTAATGGAACATGCCCCGGATGGAATTCAGAAATTCCTTTCTAATGTCTGCTCCTACCTGGCTGTGTGGTCTTGAGCAGATTTCTTCCCTCCTCCATGGGCCTCAGTCCCAATATAGAAGGGCCAAGCTCTGTGCCTGTGAAGGCCCTCGCCAGCCCTCCATTCCATGGTTCTATGACATAATCTCCTGATAATCTTGGAGGAATCCCATATTGTCACTGGAATAATGGTTCAGGGGATCTCTGGCAAAAGTCTCAGAGCTGAGCCTGGAGCAGAGACACACAGACATGGGATCTAAAGGAGGGAACCTCTGTAGTGTCTTCTCAGACACAGAAGTGAGATTTCTCACTGGATACCAATATGCCTGTGCCCTCCATCTCCCAGGTGTCTGGCTTCTCACTTCCTCCTACTTCTCTTCCACAAAAAAGGAGGGACCCAGATTTTGACCTTGAGTGTCTATAGTTTCTGATCAAGGACAGCTCCCAGGATGTGAGGACACCTGGGCCCTGCCTTCAGGGAGCAACATGTCAAATTGGGTACTTCCCCCTCTGGGTCTCCTGGTCAGAGTTGGGGTGCCACTGACTTGAAATCTTGGTTTGGTTCATGCACTCAGGGGCACAACTTCAAACATGTAACTCATGTCAGGATTCATTGATGCTGGTGCTATTAGGGACCTTAAGATAATCTAGTATATGGTTTCTGACTGTCCAGATGGTAAGTCCTGAAATGAGCGAACCAGAGGATTGCAGAGAGCTTTTAAAGACCAGAAGGTCTTCCTAAGAAGAACAGCCCATTAGGCCAGATGACTCAGATATTGCTTTGTGTTGAGGCAGGGGCCAGACCCCATGACACGTTTTAGTCCCCTCCACCTCAGAGATGACATGATTCTGAATCTGTGATTCTGTATTTTGTGAATCCATGATTCTCTCTACCTATTACCCTGTGAGTCTACCAGACTATTATTGCATGAATCCATAGGTCTCTGTTTCTATGAGCTGTGTCCAAAGAGATAAGTGGGGCCTTTTGGGGATAACCCTGTGACTCACCCTGGCACTTGTTCCAGTCATCTGACTTCTCCACACCTCACCTTCCCAGCCTATAAAATGGGTGGGGCACAGGCCACCCACCTGTTTTGGTGGCACATGGAAACAGTATCTCTCACCAGAGTTATTAGTGCTGTCTGAAGATGTTATACCCATTAGTGACAGCATGGCCCCACAGAGTAGGAAGTGAGCCAATCAGAGCTCACGGATGGCACAAGGTGCACAGATTGGCTAATAGTAGGATGGCCATTGACCACATGGAGGAAGGAGGTTGGTTTAGGCTGTACTGTCAGTGGAAAGCACCCTCATTCATTCAATCATTCATTTATTGGTCTAGTTAGTGTTCCCCAGGTCCTGTGCTAGAGCCAGATGATATACAGTGAATGTGTCCACAGTTACCAAGGCACAGAGATTATGGTCTAGTTGGAATAACTCCATGGACATTGAGGATACAAATACACTTCCTTTGTAGAATAAGCCCCTTACAATCATAGAATATCATAGCCAGGAGGGGCTTCATTGACTATTTTATGGTGGAAGAGAAAAAGCCTAGAGATAAAAGGGCACAGTGGGGCCACACTGTGAGGCAGTGGCAGAATCAGAACTAGGCTGAGTTCTATTTGTGCCTTGAACTATCTCTATCTTGTTTTGTTGACATGCCTTAAAATGGTTGGCCTTCTATGACATTTTCTTCCCTATAGCATGAGGTTGTCCCATCCTACGTCTGAGATATAGGGACTTCTTAATGACTGTGTCTGTTGGTTGGCTAAAAGCTATGGTTCCTAAAGCATCATGTATTTCAACACTAAAAACAGCATGTTGTGGCAGAAAAAAAAATTGAAGAATAAACCTGTGTTCAAATTCTGGATCTACTACTTCTAGCTATGTGAGCTTGGGCAAGTTTGTTTTTTTATTTAAATTTAAGACACTATTATGGAGACTAAATGTGATGAGCTAACCCTGTGATATATATGACCCCAATAAAAGATCATTCTTGTCCCATTCCCATCATAAAACATCAGGCCTGGGTGCCAGCTGAGGTGGGACACAAGAGAACAGGTAATGGAACAGCCTAAAACCACTTCCACCATCCCCTTTAGGACAGGACTGGTGGGTTTCACAGAAGAAGCTATGGAGTGCTACAAGCCCACCCAATACAGGAATGATGGGGGAAAGCAGGAAACTTTCTAAGTCTGGGACAGAATCTCTCCCTTGCTTTCTCCAAATTGTTCAGGGGCAGACCCTACAAGACCTGGCTTGGGCTAGGGAAGTGTCTGTGGACTAGCGGGGATTTGTCTTCTTTGTTGAGGAAATTTGGGAGCTGTTTATGGTCCTGGAGAAATTGGGATCCGTTATGGACAAATGCAGAAGCATCTTTTCGTTAGAGGTTATGGGGCCACCCTAGGGCATGCACGAGCTGATCTGAGGGAGTGGTAATTTGTAACCAAGGCTCAGCTCAGGATCAAGATACCTTTCTGCATTGGGCAACCTGACATGGATCAGTGAGAAGAGCATGGGCTCTGAAACTAGAAAGGCTTGGGTTTAAGTGATACTCCATTGCCTACCAATGGGACTACCTTGGTGAAATAGTTGGGCCTCTGGGTCTTAGTTTCCTTGTCAAAATAGGGCTAGCATAGCCTACCTCACAGGATGTGCTTAATACATATTATTCCTATTTCTTTTGCTGTATTTACTGCATTGAAGAAAGGGAAGGAGGCAGATATTCAAGGACAGTGCTATGTCCAGAAATAAAAGGCAACATGTTGTAGCAATAAAGACCATGGTTTATGAAAGTAGACTGCCTGCATGTGAATTCGAGCTTCTTACTTAATTGCTTTGTGAGAATGGGTAACTTCCTTAATCTTTAAGGGCCTCAGTTACAGGGGCATCTGTAAATGTACATCCCTTATGAACTGTTGGGCACATATGTAGCATTCAGTTAAATGTCAGATTCTACTATTATTGTTATCACACAGTGTTCATTTGGCTGGAATTCCCACTATGCTGGGTTCTTGGGGATCTAGGCCTGGTAGTAAGGTCCAGAAAGGTGAGGATGGGGAAGTTATGCGGCATGCAAAGCTGAAGATGTGGGTCATAGGTCATGAGAGGCTGAGGAGAGACAGCCTAGATATAGAGCCTGAGGTCTGAGATCATTAAGCACCCACCCAAATTAACAGAATAACCTGCCACTCCATGGAACTAACCTGAAGTTCTTGGGGGGCCTTGCTGCCATACGGAGGCAGAGACCACTGGGCCCAGCAACCCAGACTAGCAGGAGCCACCATGAAGCCCCTCAGAAAGAATACACTATTTAGGCTGAGGAGATGCACCGTCTAGCTTTTGGCCCAGTGTATGAAAAATTGAGATGCCAACTATATTTTGAACAAGTCTTTGAAGACTCAAGTGACCTAGAAACAGCTTCGTAGGTACAGATCTCATAGGCATCTCATCTCTCATAACTTCTAGAAAAAGAAGACTGACTTGTTTCATGAAGAAGGCCAAAGGAACCATTCATCTCGTGTTCGGGAAAATTCAATGTCAAGCAGAGACATGCCTGGCCCCTGAGTGAAGAGCCAGGCATTCTGGGGAGGAATCTCACCAATGCAGTGCCAGCCCCGGTCCTCGTGACCTCTCCCGTTTCATTCAGATGCCATTAAATTGCCTCATCGCCACACTATAAAAGGCCGCCCCAGTGGCCAGCTCCTCAGATCCTTGGCTTCTCCCCACCTTGCTCCTGTCAGCGAAGAGGGTAAGTCTATGCCTGGATTAGGGACACAAAAAGGAAGGAGAGGTGACACTGGGATGGGATGAGGACAGTCAGGACTAGGCATGAGTGTGGCTGCTGAAGGAGCTGGGGCAGAGTTGGTGGGAAGCGTGGAGGCTGGGGCCTGAGGGGGAGAGGCAGAGGTATGGAACTGGAGCAGAGCTGTTGGTCCTGTGTGAGAAGGGGTCTTCAGAGAACCGCCACTCTCCCCGCGTGCAGTTGTGCAGTCCTCTCATGGGTCCATTTATGGGGTGAAGTGATAGTCCAGCTGGCCTGAAAAGCAAATGGTGGAAACTCAAACTCCAGCCTTGTCAGACTCTGTGGGGCTCAGCTTGAGACTCACAGTGGCTCCTGGTCTACTGATAAGAACTTGCTTTCCCTGGGTACTGCCTGGCCTGGCAGGAGGGAATAGGGAAGCCAGTCTTGAGAGAATTTGGTGACGAGGGGAAATCAGCTGGGAAGAAATTTCCCAAGGAGAACCAGCAATACAGGAACCAAAGTGAGTAATAAGAGAGGAGGCTTGGAGAACTGGGTGGAAACAGATATCACTCATTCATTCCAGCACTTCATTTTCCACTGTGGAAACTGAGGCACACAGCCAGGCATAGGCACAAGAGCCAAGCAAGATCCCTGGCTCTGGGTCCAGCCCATGTCAGGTCTGAGTGCCTGTGACCTCAAAAAGTTCCTGCTTACAGACAATTCTATTCATATGTGATGTTGGGGTTTCCCTGGAAACCTTCTTAGTTCTGATGAGACCTTTCTTTTCAGATTTTGCAAAGCCACAGGAAGATGTGTGACCAGCAGAAGCAGCCACAGTTCCCCCCATCTTGTGTGAAAGGTTCAGGATTGGGAGCTGTACAGAGTACCAAATGTACCTCTGTGAAATGCCCAGCTCCATCCCAGACTCAAGCCTGTGTGAAATGCCCAGCTCCATGCCCGACTCAAACATATGTGAAATGTGTAACTCCTTGCCAGACTCAAACCTATGTGAAATGCCCACCTCCATGCCCAACTCAAACCTATGTGAAATGCCAAGTTCCATGCCAGACTCAAACCTATGTGAAATATGCAACTCCTGGCCAGATGTATGTGAAATGCCCAGCTCCATCCTATGTGAAATGCCCAGCTCCTTGTCAGACATACATGAAGTGCCCAGCTCCATGCCAGACAACCTATGTGAAGTGCCCAGCCCCCTGCCAGACCCAGGCATGCTATGGCCAGGGCCCTTCTCCTGGCCAGACCTACTACGTTCAGGCTCCTGCAAGTAGCTCGACCACCTCATGCCGTGTACCTGATCCATGCTCTGCACCCTGTTCCACCAGCTACTGCTGCCTGGCTCCCCGGACCTTCGGGGTGAGTCCCCTGAGACGCTGGGTCCAGCGACCCCAGGACTGCAGCTCAGGATCATCTGGCTGCTGCGAAGATTCTGGGTGCTGCAGCTGTGGGGGCTGTGGTTCTGGGTGCTCCTGTTTGGGGATTATCCCCATGAGGTCCCGAGGTCCTGCGTGCTGTGATCGTGAGGATGACTGCTGCTGTTAAATACAGAACAGCCCTGCTCTGGAACATTCAGCAGCTTCTGGTCCCCTCTTTGTATTCCCAGTGATATAGAATCTTATTGCTTCACCACATACTTTGCTTCTCTATGAAGGCAGCCTGCCAGAGTTAGCACGCGCCACAAACTTTGGCAAGAATAAAGCTCTGAAAGCAATTCATAGAGATGTACTGTCTTTTTGGTCCATATTTATGCTTTTATATCAGAAACTCTTCCTCTCTTCTTCTTGCTTCTCAACAAGAGGAAGGTCTGCATGGACCAAGCTGGTACGATCCCAGCCTGGGATCCCTGAGCATTCTAGAATGCCACTAATAAACTTCCCCATGCAAGTTAGCTAGAGATTTTAGGGTCAGGAGATACCTTTTTCCTGTCCTCTGATGAGTGTGAGGAGAGGGTTTGGCTATGCTGAGGCCTTCATGGTAGCATGATTGTTATATGTGAAGTAAGAGTTCAGTTTCCTGAATGTTGAAGGGTCTGTGAAATCAGATCTGTTCAGGTGCCTCATGATGATGCCCCTGCTTCTGTGGGAGGGGCTCTATGGATTCCATTTTCTCATCTGATGAGTTTGCCCCCCTGAGGCCCCAGAGTAAAGACCTGAGGGAAAGGGTGAGGACTCACCTGAGGCAGGTAGAAATTCTCCTTGTTAGCCAGGGAGACAGCCTTAGTAGTGAGGGAGAGGTTGCCAAGAGGAAGGTGAGCCTCTTGGCACAAGCGTCTGGGTCTGGGCCAGACTCCCTTCCTTATTAGCACTTCCTCTTCCATTACTTTGCTAACCCCAGGGGTTTGGGGTGGATTTTTATAGCTAGAGACTGTAAACCCACACAGTAAAAAAGAAATAGGTAGGGGTAAGTGCCATTCGAAGCAGCCCCCCAAGCCCTGGTGCATGAGCAGAGGAGGCAGCATGTTTGGTGAATATGTAAATGAACATTCCAACAAAAACTGGGTACCTTGAGTTTGTTTCTAAGCAACCTCTTTCAGGTTACCCTGGGACACTTGCGGGAGTGTCATCTGGATTACTGTGCTGCCTTTGAACATCTAAGTCACCCATGATTCCCCAAATCACACTCCATCCCTGCAGCCAAATCCATTGCATCCAGATCACTGGGCATCATGATCTCCTGTACCACCGAATGGCTCCGGCAATGTTGGAAGTCTATGTGCTGCTCCTTCAGCAATGAATCTGGGCATGCAATGCTTTTATATTTATTAATTAAAAATTAGGTAAGTAGCACAAGCTTTGTAAACATTTGAATAGTACAGTTGATGTTTGAACAATGCAGGGGGTAGGGGCGCCACCCCCCCACAGTCTAAAATCCACACTTTTGACTCCCCAGAAAGGTAACTATTTAATAGCCTACTGTTGACCAGAAGCCTTACTGATAACATAAATAATCAATTAACAAATATTTTTATGTTATGTGTATTCTATCTATACTGTATTCTTATAATGAAGTGAGCTAGAGAAAAAGTATTAAGAAAATCATAAGACAGAGAAAATACATTTATAAAACTGTATTTATTGAAAAAAACACGTACAAACTGGACCTGTACAGTTCAAATCCAGGTTGTTCAAGGGTGAACTGCATGACATTTATAGATAAAAATTTAGTTACTTTTTGATTTCCAATACCACACCCTTTTCCAGGGATGACCATACTGAGTTTGGATTAGATCTTTGTCTAGCACCCAGTGACCCAATATATGTAGAGAATGGATGGCATCTTAAAAGCCCAGCCCAGCACTGATGTGTCAGAAAGTATTGTAGGGAATCCATTTCATAACTCATAACATTCTTCTAAAATTTCCATTCTCTCTCCTTTTCAATTCTCCCATATCTTAAGCACAGACGCTCAAGTTTCCCTCACTAAAAGCCCCCAAGTCCTCTCTAACATCCAGACAATGTGGCTTCTTTGTCTCTTTCTCCCTTGCCACCCCCACCTCCCACCTGACTAAAGTCTGGTCGTGGTTGTGAAGCCTGAGCCTCCCTGGCTGCTTTGCTAGTTTTCTCTATCCTTTACCCAATCCTGGGATTCTCCTTTCCAGAGGAACTCACCCAGGAAGAGAAACCTTTCCTTTTTCCCCAGCTGTTTCAGCTCTAGCGCATTCTGTTGGTTTTGTACAGGGAAGAGGGAAGAGACTATAAAGCTTAAAAGGCAAACACATAATTCTCTTGGTAGGGAGTGTAAGTAGAGGAAATGAAGAAGAAAGCAAACACATGCATTAGTAAATCTCAACCCATTACATATCCTGAAGATCCCCCCCTCCCATTTTATTGTGTAGAACCACAGTATGTATTGCTCTATGATGACCTGTTTTCATTTAATAGTGAATATTCAACATCAGTTTTGGTTAGTGCATATAATTGTAACTTTTTCAATTTTGCTTTCAATGTTTGCTTTCTGACATTTCTGTCGTGTGGCTACTCAGTGATATATTTAACCATCCCCTTATTGCCTTTTATGACATATATTTTTATTTCTCTTTCTCTTTCTTTTTCTCTCCTTCTGTCTTTCTTTCTCTTGGTTTCTGCCTCAATCTTCTGTCTCTCATTATTTGTGAGTTGCTGTTAAGGTCTTTGTAAATATTTTAAACATTTTATATTGAAATATAACACACAGAAAAGTACACACATCGTAAGTTCGTCATTCAATGAACACATCTGTATAACTACCACCTGGACCCCAGAAAGTTAATGTCATGTTGAAAGCAAATAAATCAAAGTCCCTGATCCCCACAGAGCAGGGGACTAAGTTTGGAGGCATGAGGTGGAGAAGAACAGAAATATCCTTCTATAACTCCAGAAGCTTTGGAAGAGCGCTGCTTATGTGCCAGGGGTATTTATGTAGGAAAGACTATGTGAGGAGAAACAGCCAGTGGAATCCAGGCTTTCAAGGAGCACCTCCCAAAGAACACTGACATATGATGCTGGACTCCCCTCCCCTTACACAGACCTCAGGAAACTGAGAAGCCAGACACCAGGACCTGAAAAGCCTGCATGAGCTTGGCCAGTCTGGAAGGTCTGGAAGTAACTTTTGTGTTTAATTTTCATTCATTCATCCAATAAATAGTTACTGAACATCTATTTTTTTCCAGGCACCATCTCTATCATGTTGGAGTTTACAGCAGAAAGGGAGAATAAACGATAAAAACCCAATAAATAAATGTAAAGGTGCACAGCTATGAAGGGTACTGGGTGCTCTGACATCCTGCAATATACCCATTTTACCTGGTCAGGGAGATCAGAAAGGAGTTCTCTGAAAAAGTGCAGATCGATCTCAAGGTTGAGTAGGAGTTAATTATAGATCAGCAAGGGAAGGCTTCTCCAGGTGAGGCAAGAACACAGCCAGGAACTCTGTGGGAGAGGGGGCCTGGAAGGAGTAAGGAGCTGAAGGGAGAGAGCGCACAGTAAGACAGAAGGGCAAGAGTACCTAATGCGTACTGCTACAGGTGGGAATGGATGGTGTTGCTGGAGATATTCATTCAGCCAAAGGGAGCTGTTGCAAGGTTTCAAGGGGGCAGGTGGTAGATACTATATTATTTGTGCCTCTTAAAGTTTATTTTTGTGCATATAAAGGATAATCTAAAACAACTGCCCAGTAACATTAATTTACCTGGTTCTTTCCTACCCTGTCCTGTGTAGCTGCCCAGTTCTGGGTCTAGTTTATATAGCTATCATATGACAGCTCAGGCCATTCTGTGAGTAAGGGTGCCTTCAAGTGCCAGCATCCGGTGGTCTTTGCTCGCAGCTGGTGCTCTCATCTCTAAAACTGATGGGTTAGAAAAGTACAAAATATTCAGTTTCAGGACATTTTAAGGCTAATCAAAAGTTCTACCATGTTGTGTTTTTTGTAGTTAAAAAAATCTCGATGTGTCATTTTTCATGTAAAATAATCCAGATTTCCTGACTTCTGATCCCTCTACACTACTTATAGAGGACTTATTGGGAATGAGTTAAAGGGAATGGCGAGTTCAGAACATGAAGCAAACCCGTGGGAGATTGGGGACAGTGTTCTCGGACGTGCTGAGGTGTTGCTTTCCTGGGCTCTTCCATGAGTCTGCTTTCCCACAGTTTTTCTGGAATAGAAAAATCTACTGAGTTGAATCCTAATCCCACTTCTCTGTGTAGAATAGTTTTTAATAATGTTTTCTCTCAGGAAAATGTCTATGCCAAAATTATTCATAAGTAAGGCTAATACACACAGACCTCATAATATTTCCAAATTTAAGAAATAAACATATAGTCAAATACATTTAAGTTTTTTTATTTTAAAATGCATTGTACATATTTTGTCTATGAATGTATAATATGATTAAATACCCATAAGAAAAAAGACTCAGATCTATTCTTGACATAGACAGGGAAGGACAGAGGGAATTGTCCTTTATTTGTTGAGAACTTACTATGTGCTGGATACTGTGCTAGCTGCTTTACATGTGATGCCTCTCTTATCTGAGCAATGAGATGACTGATCTGAACCGTCTGGCAGGTGTGGGAGGAGCAACCGCTAAGCTTATGCTAAGACTGGGACTCTCGAGTCAGACAGGCCCATTTATTGATGTTATGACGTCAGACAAGTTGTATGATCTCTTTACCCAGAGGGATGGTATCTCATAAAACTGCTTGAAATAGTGCCCAGCACATATTAGGTCCACAATCCATGAAGCCATTGTCCTGTCCCTGGTTGGAGGGGCTCTGTCTGTAAACCTGAAAGCCACTTAGAGTAAGAGAGTGACAATCATATCAGATGAAGACTATTAAGGGATTCTCATGGTTTGAAATTTTATAGTTTTAAAGTAAAATGCAATGAGAAAAGGTTTTATTTATGGATCTGATTATGAAAAGGTGTACTGATGTTTCGAGTGACTATAGTCTACCAGCTTCTTCCACCTCTGTTCTCATGCCAGCTCTGCCATAGTACTTTCTCTAACATTGAATAAGCCACTTTGCCTCTTTGGGCCCCAGTGTCCACCTCTATAAAATTAGGAA